GAAGAAGAAGAAGAAGAAGAAGAAGAAGAAGAAGACGACGACGAAGATGAAGGAGAAGGAGAAGGAGAAGGAGGAAGAGGAGGAGGAGGAAGAGAAGGAAGAAGAGGAGGAGGAGAAGAAGAAGGAGAAGGAGAAGGAGGAGGAGAAGGAGAAGAAGGAGAAGTAGAAGACAGGGGAAACACTGAAAGCTTTAGTCACAGGAAAGCCTTCCTGAATAGGACTCAAATAGCAAGGAAAGAACAGTAAAAATCAACAAATGGTACTACATCAAATTAAAAACATTCTGAAGAGAAAAGAAAAAGCCATTCTGTGCAGAAAAAAAAATCAAGAGTGAAGAGATAACCTTCACTAAAATAAAAGCAAATCTTTGGTAACTACTCTTTCAACAGAAGAAATACTCTGAAAAGATACACAGAAATCAACACCAAAAGATTCAAATAGACCATTCAACAATTGCACAAATAGATACTTCTTAAAAGCAGAAGTACAGCTGGCCAACTAGGATATTAAAAATGTTCAACAGTTTTTAGCTATCAGGGAAATGCAAATCAATGCTACACTGAGATTCCATCCCACGTCAGTTGGAGTCTATCAGCAAGAACCCAAGAGATAATAAATGCAGCAAGAAGCAGAGTGAAACAGAATCTCAGCTATTAGGGCTTGTATCTAGATGTCCACCCAAAGGCTCCTGAAGTTGTAGGTGGAGCTTTTAGGGGTGGCTGCGCCCAAGATGCTTTGATGGTGGAGTTAATGATGGGATGCTGTGACTCATGGTGGGGTGCAGAGATTCAGGGAGCCCCACTCTGAGTGGGAATCCTCAGGGCAATGTAAGGTACAGAAGGAGGACTGCTGCCCTCGCTCGCTGCCTTCTGCCTGCCCTGCTTTGCCGTGCACTAGTGCTCTTCTACAATGCCCCTCTGCCATGCCACCGTGTCTCGGAGCAGCCTGCTATGGACTGAAACCTCTGCAAACTATGAGCTACAGTGAATCTTTCCTCCTTTAACTTTGGGAGTTGGATGGTTTGTCTTATCAATGAGGAAAGTAACTAAGAGGGTAATCTAGTCCATGCATTATGGAAATCAGTTTGGAAGTTTAGAAAACTAAATACAGAGAGGCCAGTGTTCCAACTGTACCACTCCTCAGGATATTCCCCAGAGAATTAAATACAGCATGCTGTGATGCTACCTGCCCACCCCAGTGCATTGCACCACTAATAACAATAGCAAAGCTGTAGAAAGCCTAGCTGCCTGTCAACAGATGAATGGGTTAAGCAATGGTGGTGTGTACACCCAAACAAAGTTTAAATCAGGCTTGAGGAAGATGGAAATCTTGTCATCTGCTGGAAAGTGGATGGAAATGGAGGCCACCATGTGAAGAAAAAAAAGTCAGATTCAGAAAATTAAAAATTACATATTTTATCTTATATGGGGAAGCTACAAAAAAGTATGTGTGAGGGGCTGACAGGAATGTAGAGCTGAGTCTGCTGGCGATAAGGGAGTGGTGGCCAGGGAAAGAAGTGGGAGTGGGGGAAGGGGACAAGAGGATTGAAATAATCCGGGTATATTATATGCATGCACTAGTATACCAAAAGAGAACTGATTACTTTGCATTACTAATATGCACTAATTAGGTTAGATTAAATTAAATATATAAACCTGTGGGGCCAGTTCAAGTGATCTACATATGGAACTGGACATGGGAGAGGAGAGGGTGAGAGAAATATTTTAAGAAACAATGACTAATATTTTAAAAATTTGGTTTAAACTATGAATTTAGATTCTAGGGAGCTCAGTCAATGGCAACAAGGCAATATAAACAAAACCACGGTATATGTATCACTAAGTTGTGCAAGAGATATATGATAAAGGAAAAAAGGTGAAAAGTAAGCTTTACATACAAAAGAATGAATGGGAAGATTGCAGCAGATTCCTTGCTAGAAGTAACACAACACAGTGATAGCAGAATAAGATTTTTTTTTTCCGGTACCGGGGATTGAACTCAGGACCCTGTGCTCGTCAGGCAGGGCGCTTATTCTACTAAGCTATCTCCCCAGCCCCCAGAGTAAGATTTTCACATTGAAAAAAACCAAACTCACTACACAAAATTCTATATCTAGTATAAACAACACCTCTCAACTTAAGGCGAATTTTCCAGGCCCTGAGTTCAATCCCTGGTTCTGCCACCAAAAAAAAAAAAAAAAAAAAAGAAAAAGACTTTTAACCACAATATACGCAAATAAAAACTAATCAATAAATTGTGAAATATTTACCTGTGTATAATGGCCGCAAACACCAGAACACGTGAGATCATTAAAATCGAAATATTGAGATTCATTATACCAGTCGGCAACAGCATATTTTGGAGTAAAGTACGGGAGTCCACCATACCAAATATTTTCTCCGATATATTCAAAGTTGTTGTGGCATTTATGTGGTATTCTCAAACAGCTGTTATGTTCAGGCTTGCAGTGTTTGGACCATGCTTTCGCCACCTGTGCTAAGCTGTCATCCCAAGTCTGAAAAATAATTAAAAAAAAGTTTGAAATAAATTTTGCATATTCGTGTATGTCCAAATCATTCCATTCTTATAATCAGTTCAAGTTTGTTTCATTTATTAATTTAATGAATATACAGTTTTTTGTATTCTGGCAATTTCCATTTGCTTGTATTTCACAAAACACATACATAGTACTCATTCCATGACAGTTCATTTTCTATTTCCAGTATGCAGCAGATGCTCTGGTACATTAGAGACACTCAGCAAATATTCTGAAGGTGAACAAAAGAAGGCAGAAAAAGTCTGGTAATTTAAAAAATTAAAAAAAAATTGTTTATTTATTTATTTGTGACAGGATCTCACTATACAGTTGAGACTCATAGTGATCCTCCCATCTCAGTCTCCCCCATGCTGGGATTACGGCTGTGCGCTACCAGGCCCAGTTCCAGGGCTGGCCCGGTGTGTCCAGGGTTCAGGGGCCCACACGGCACGTGGTACTGGGGGTCAAACTTGAGTCCTTCCGCTTGCTAGGCAGGCACTTAGACCACTGAATTATCTCCCCAGCCCAAGCCCAGTAATTTAGATGTCTGTAAATTTATTATAAAAAGTACGCATTGATTATTCCTTTTATTAACACATAAGAAATAGTATGTAGTAATGATTTTCCTCCCTTGCCTGTATCTTAATTTTTTCCATCTCTGTGAGTTCTCTGTTCAGCATATACGATTTCTTGCTCTACCTGTCATCTTTTGTGCTTCACAGCCCTTTTAAAATTTTTGTAAATTAAATTTTTTAAAAATGTATTTAGTACAGAGTCTACAGGGGCTCATTACACAGATCAGACTTGTAGTGATCCTCCTGTTTTCAGCCTCCCAAGCACTACCGTCTCAGTGTGCCCCAGGGGAGGGGCTGGCATGGCACTGGGGATCTAACCCTGGTCCCTGAGTCTGCCTAAGCAGACACTTTAAATCTGCTGAGCTATTTGGGTAGCCGTTAAATTAAAATTTCTTTTTTGGGGGGGCTGGCAAGGTAACTCAGTGGACTAAGCTCCTGCTTAGGCAGGCATAGGGACCAGGGTTCAATCCCCGACATCATATGCCATGCTGGCCCTGCCCTCCGGGCATGCTAAGCCAACGTGGAGTTTAGATGTAATCTCAAAGCTGGGGAGACTGAAAACAGGAGGAACACTATGAGTCTGAGCTGTGTAGTGAGACCATGTACCAAATACATTAATTATTATTATTTTTTTAAAACTGGGATTGAACTCAGGACCTTGTGTTTGCCAGGCAGGCGCTTGCCACTGAGCCATATCCCCAACCTTGTTCTGAGTTTTTAAGAGAAAGTTTGATGAACGATGAAAAGGGAAAAAAGAATAATGATTTGATAAAACAATGGAAATACTGAATCATAGAATCTACTCTGCAGGGGGAAGAAAATAAGACCAGAGTAAAATGATGTTTGGGGGAGAGTTTAGTGGTCCATGCAAAGCCACACTTCCATAGCACTTGATGTACTCCTGAGGAGCTTGTCCCGTAGTTAGTAATTTGCTTGGCTTTCTCTTTTCTACCTGCAATCATTTTTAATTTTATTATCCTCTACTTATTTTAGAGTTGATGGGATTCATACATATAGTGCACTTGAATAAAATACCACCCCCATTTTGCTACTCCCTCCCCAACTTCTCAACTTCTAGTAAACAGTTTTAGTGTCAGGTCAACTTTCTAATCTTCCATGTATGACAGAAAACATGGTACTTTTCTCTGTCTAGTTGACTTCGTTGTCTTAGTTGCCTTCCCATCCTGGGGACCAAATGTCCAAGGCCCACAAGAAGAGGTCTGTTTCGGTGCGCAGCTTCAGTCCAGGGTTGGCCGCTCCAGGGCATAGATAGGGTGACCAAGGGTCGAGGTGGAGGAAGATGTACCCAACCCATGGCGGCCAGGAGGCAGAGAGAGGAGGCAGGAGCCAGGGCCACAACACATTTTCGCAGGTCCACCCCCAGCGACCCCCTCACCCAGGCTGCACATCCTGGCAGCATGTTCAGCGACTGAGCTCACCAATGGCTGCATCCACTAAGGACTGTGGGCCCACCTGATCCACTCACCTTCAAAATGAGAATTTCGTGGCCAGTTTTGATCTAAGCCACAACAGGTACTTCCCATGATGCCTTCCAGTTCTGTCCACCTCGTTGCAAATGAGGTAATCTGGTCTTGGTTTATGGATGAATAATAATCTATCAAGCATACATATCACACTTTTCTCTCTCCATTCATTTATGGACAGACACGTAGGCCGAGTCCACATCTTGCCTACTGTGAACAGTGCCATAATAAACATGGACACAAAAGGATAACTTGGGTACGCTGGTCACATTTCCTTTGAATATGTCTTCAGAGGCAGGATACCTGGATCCAACGGTTGAGCTATTTTTAGCTTTGAGGCGCCTCTATATATTCTCCCATAATTGTTCTATTAATTTAAATTCCCATCTACAGTATGTAAGAATTCTTTTATGTGTGATATCTTTGCCAGAATTTGTTTTATTATTTTTCTGAAAACAGCCATTCTAACTGAGGTAAGATGTCATGTCATGGTATTTTTTTTTTTTTTTTTAAGTAGGTCTACAGGGTCTCACTACACAGGTCTGGCTCTTAGTGATCCTCCTGCTTTCAGCCTCCCAAGAGCTGGGATTACAGGAGTGGGCCACCACACCCATTTTAGTGTGCGTGGGGTGGGGGGAGGAAGGAGGGGGGTGGGACCGGCATGGCATGCCTGGGGATTGAACCCCGGCCCCCTGCGTCTGCCTAAGTAGGCTCATTAGTCCACCGAGCTATCTGGCTGGCTCTTGTCATGGCAGCTTTGATTTATTGTTTTTTAAAAAGAATCTCTAGTGATAATGAGCATTTTCACATACTTGTTCACCATTTCTATTTCTTCTTTGTAGGAGTGCCTGAAAGCTCTAGGCATTTTGCTCATTTTTAAGTTAGATCCCTTCTTTTTAATTACAAAGTGTTTTAAGCTGGATGTGTTTATGGTTTTCAAGCCTCTGTCAGATGAAGAGTTGGCAAGTGCTTCCTCCCATGCTGTAGGCTGTGTCCTCACTTTCTTGATTGTTCCTTGTGCTGTGCAGAAGATTTCAGTTTGGTGTATTTCTATTTGCCATATTTTTTTCTTTTTGTTTGTTTGTTTCTTGTCTTTTTGGGGTCTTATCCACAAAATAATTGCCTATATAAACACCTTGAAGTTTTTGCCTGTCATTCTCCTGTTATTTCTAGAGTTAGGGTCTTACAGTTAGAGGTTTGATCCATCTACAGTCCAGTTTCAATATTCTGCATATAGAGACACAATTTTTCCAGGACTGTTGATGTATTTACTTGCAGGGTAGGGGATTGAACTCTGGACCTTACACTCGCCAGGCAGGCACTTAAGCCACTGAGCTAGCTCCCTGGCCCCAGCATTATTTATTGAAAATGCTTTCCTTTCTACCAAGTGTGAGTTTGGTGCTTTTCTGAGAAAGAGTTTAGTGTAGATTTGTGAGTTGAGTTTTACCTGTCTACACTGTTCTATTAATCCACATGTATGTTTTGTGTACTGCAGCACTGCTCTGGCTAGTAGAACTCTAGTACGCCTTGCCTTGAAGTCAAGTATCATGATGTGTTTGGCTTTACTTTTTCCCAGGAATGCTTTGACTCTTTTGAATCTTCTGTATTTTCTTAGGATATTTTTCTAGTTTTGTAAAGGATGCCATTTGTCAAAATAACAACAAAAAACAATAAACAACAGAAAAAAAAAGAAGGGCCAGGGAGGTGACATAAGTGCCTGCCTGGAGAGCATAAGGTTCTGGGTTCAATCACTGATATGAAAAAAACGAAAGAAAGAAAGAAGAAAGAAAGAAAGAAAGAAAGAAAGAAAGAAAGAAAGAAAGAAAGAAAGAAAGAAGCCATTGGTATTTTTATTAAGATTTCATTGAATCTGTACATGGCTTTTGGTAATATGACTATCTTAGCACTACGGGTTCTTCCAGTACGTGAACACTAGGGGGCTTCCCATCTTTTACTGTCTTCTTTAATTCCTTTCTTCCATGCTTTGTAAATTTTCACTCCAGAGTTCTTTCACTTTGTTATGTTTCTTGCTAAGTGATTTATTTGTTGCTATTAGGAACGGAATTCCTTCCATGATTTCCTTTTTAGCAAATTCATTATTGGTGTATAGGAACGCTGTTGATTTTGCATCTGGCTGCTTTACTGAGTATGTTTATAAGTTCTGTTAGTTTTTTGGTGGAGCCTTTAGCTTTTCTATACATAGAATCCTATAATCTGTAGAGATAAGTTTATTTTTCCTTTTCTATTTGGAGACCTTTTTTTTTTCTTTTTATGGCACCGGGGGTTGAACTTGGTACCCTGAGCTTTCCAGGCAGGTACTTATATTCCTGGCCCCTGAAATCTTTTCTTTATGTTGTCTAATTCTTTTGGATAAACTTCTAGTAATATATTGAATACGAATGTTAAGAGTGGTCCTCTTGTCCTGTATCTGGTTCTAGGGAAAATGCTTTCAGTTTTCTACCATTCAGTATGATATTGGCTGTGAGTTTGTCATATGTAACCTTTTTATGTTGAGATATGATCCCTTATTTCTAATTTATTCATTACTTTTATTATGAAGGATGTTGAATCTATTTTTTCCATATCTATTGATATAATCATATGCTTTTTGTTTTTTACTTTCTTAAATGTGATGTGTTGTCTTTATTTACAAAATTTGAACTATCCTTTTATTCTTTGAAATAAACTTGATCATGGTATATGAACTTTTTATGTTGTTTGAATTCAACTTTGTGTGTGTGTGTGTGCTGTATGCATGTTCATCATGGATATTGGTTTATGCTTTCTTTTTTGTTGTGGCCTTGTCTGGTTCTTACTAATAGGGTAATGGTAACTTATTAGAGTGAGTAAGAAGTGCTCCTTTCTGGTTATTGGTTGTTCTTCAAAAACTTTCTAAAATTCATTGGTGAGAGAGTCAGGA